AGAATGCTAGCAAATCTCAGCAATGTCACACTTTATTAGTCATGCAAGCACTTAAAAGCAAGGTTTGAAACACAAAATTCGACAGATTTGTGGTGGCAGTTGTTTAAAAATGCCACAATGAGCCTTTTGGGATTTACCTCCTGAAACTGGACCAAGTTAAAGCATTAAATTTCATGAACAATGCAGCTTTTTAAGTTAGGAAGGAGTATTTAAATCCTAAAGAAAAGCTCCACTGGACATGTATGCTCCTTTTTGCAACATTGAATCCATTACATTTTCTACCAGGTTCAAAGGCAGAAAATTTGGATTTGCTGACACTTCACTTTCTGACTTGGTTTAACTGCTACAGACTGGTTGCGTCACACAGATAAGCTAAACTGAGCCATGGCATCAAGTTTTAAGCATTCTCTCTTTGCTCTTATTTTTGATGTTGCTGTGTAGTCTGACTATCTGTCACTGTTGCATTGTTCCTTTCATAAGGGTTAGAGACGAGAAGACATGCTAGGCTGCTAGGCAGCAGACTTCTGGATATAGGGGCTTTATAAAGGAGCTTAGAAGCACATTGCAGCTGTGCTGGGTCTATGTTGAAGCTCAGTTGTTGAAGTAAAGATGATTTAAAAAATAAAAAGATTGCTAATGTCTGTTATTCTGAGTTGTGCACTATAGTTAGTGCAAAGGAAAAAAGCCAGTCAAATCAGTTTTGTTGCTGTGGTGGTGTTTTTTTCTTCATCCAGTACTGTTTTTTCAGATTTCTGTGACTTGGAATTATACAGAATTAATAGCAAGGTTTATAAAACCTGCAGACTCCCCAAATGCCTCCACCTGTAACAATTGCCAAAGTTGTACTTGCACTCACTTCAGCATCGAGTGGAATAAAATGGTTCAGCTTGATGTGTGGTATTTTTCTTAGCCCTACTTTAAATGTTTATAACTTTTTCATGCATCAAATACTCTTCTTATGTACTTTGGAAAATCCGCTCTACACCATCTGGAAACTTGTGTCATGGGCAGAATGATTTCCCAGCTCAATTTCTAAAGTTTGCATTTCCTTTATAGGTCCCCACTCCCCATGTATTTGGAAGAACTTTGGCGCTTAATTACTAAATAGCTAGTTTGTGACTGGGCATTGTCACTCTCCAGGTCAGTGTGCAGCAAGAGATCCATATTCCCTCTACTGTGGTGAAAGGTAAGAACAACTCGAGGTAAGAGGAAATGGAGTTTAGGGGGGAACCAGAGGATATGTGACAGCAAGAGACAACAGCCTGGAAGTTGTTGCAGATGCCAGCCTGATGGAGACTAGCTATAGCAACAAAGTTGCGGCCAGCAAGCAAGCAAATAATGTAGAGAGGGAAGTAACACTGCAATATATTAATCTTCTGAAGTTCAGTGCTTCCAAGCTTTAGGTTGACGACTTTGGGGGCTTTTTTTTTTGCTTGTTGTTTTTGCCTAACAATTTAAAGAAATTTTGAGGCCAGGACATTTGGGCCTTTAATTTTTGGTAACCTTAGTAAAGAAACATCCTACATGTGAAAGCATTTCCTGGGAAACTAATAAAGTCTTGAATCTAAGGGGTCCAGTGTTTTGTACCATCCTACAGTGCATGCTGCTGAGATATGGGAGGCTGGTGTGCTATAGCATGCATGTTGTCAGTCAGCTGTGAGGTTGCTGCAATAATGAAAGATGCGGGAAATAGACTGAGTTTTGCATCTCTTACTCATGTGAGTAATTTATGGTAAAGCCAGTGAGAATATTTGCATGAATGCAAGAAGACTGCAAGATCAGATGACAGGGCTCTTTGGTTACTGAGGAGATGCAAAATGAAGCTTCAATTATAGAATCTTCTCATTTTCTCAGCAACAGTTTTCAAAAGTAGATGGAGAAGTCAGGAAGGGATTAAATAACTGCCTGTGCCTCCATATAGTGAATGGTTCTTACATAACTATCACTGGAGAACATGAAAATGAGTAGAGCAGTAGTTATGCATCTGCCGTAACTCTTACTTTTTAAATAATAAGAATAATTTTTTTAAGCTGGGCATTATTTTCATCGTATCATATAGTTACTAAAGCTATGAAGAAGCAAGTTTAAAGAAAATTTTAAATTGGAAGAGATCTGAAATGTTTCATGCCTCAAGATTGAATATCTTATGCCAATTGCAATATTTGCTTTTGCCTCTTGCCTTTGTGAGATTTCCTTAGACTCAGGAATGTGACTTTTAGATTTTTCTTATGTTCCAGACAGTTTTATCTAACCTGTCTTGGCTCCTGTATATAAGCTAAACTAAATGGTCTAATGACCCTTTTGGCCTTAAACTTTATTCATTTATTGATTTCAGGCTTACTTGGGTTTCCCACATACAGGGGTTTTTTTGCAACTATTTAACTATTTCACTCCTTCCTGTGAGTTGAGTGTGTCACCGGATGGGGTCCTCAAAGGTGGCCGTGTTCTCCTAAGGCCCCTTGACCATGCCAATTTGGCCTGTTGGGCACCCTCAGTTCTCACCCACCATGTCTTTGATGGAAATATAAGATTAGGGAGGCTGCCTTTAAGTCCTCTTGGACATGGTTTGTTGGACTCCCTGAACCCTGTGGGTTCCTGGACACCTTGTGGGTCCTGTTTCACTATGGGAGTTTGGGGGGGGGGGGGCACCCTAGTCTTGTGGGTTGTATGCATGGCTCCAACCGCCCCTTTATCATGCCTCAAACCTTGCAGATGGTATCGGCATTGTATTGCCTAGGCCTCGTTATAATTCGGCCTCTTGTCCTCACTGGGCTCTCCGCAGCTCTTGTCGCTGCGCCCTCTCTGGCGCCGGGGTCTGTGCCCCCAAATGCTGTGCCCTCTGGTGCTGGGGTCCCCACACGGTAGTGGGGCCTCAATGAGGCCTCCTCCTTCCCCAAATAGCCTCACTCAAACCACCGGTCTTATAAAATGGCAAACAAAACATAAGCCCCTGGGCTATAACATAAAGTGCAGGGCATGCTCTGCCCCTTTAAAAGAGCAAAACTCCCTCTCTAATACTGGGTGCCTGGAGGCGAGGGTACCTCATGGGCTCCTGGTGCCCCATTAGCTCTAAGGGTAGCATATCCAATGGCTGTAGTATCTCAGAGCCCTTCCTCCCTGAAGGCTCCTTCCCCTTTCGCTGCTGGTAGGAAATTGAACTGCCAGGTCCCAGCCCTAGGGTTTATACGGGCTTAGGGCCCTGCCTCTTCTGGCCAGCTAACCAGGTGCAGGTGCGGCCAATTCCCTCGTTAGCCAGTTGTCATGGCAACCTGCACCTGGGCTCTTATCTGGCCCTTTGTGTTCTTTTCCCCTGCAATCTCTGCTCTTAGTGCCCTGCGACAGGGTGCTAGGTGATTTCCTAAAGATACTGTCCAAGGTGAAGTATCACTTCCAGTAAGTCAAAAGTAGAAATGCAGTTTAAGCTTGTCAAGTAAAGACCTCTTCTTTACCAGTTATACGAGTCCTATATTAACTGACCTTTTTTTAATGATCTAGACAAATCAGGGGAATCTGTGAGAGCACTTGTTTTCTGTTCTGATCTCTACAATGGATATCCTCGATGATCTTAGAACCAACTACCACTTTTCCTTGCCTCTTTGTAAATGGCCTCGGCACTTTCTGAAACTCTTACCAGCATTTCCATGTTAACTTGATCTTTCATATCAAAGAATTTTGCATTGAATTTACTGAAGTATTTAATACCCCCTTTGTAAAATTGGGGTTTACCCACAATACACTATAGTTGCTTCTTTTACAAAAATGCTAAAACTTCCTGAAAAGGTCATATAGAAAGGTTAAGTGCAAAATACTATTAACCGTAACCATATCATCACTATTTTTAGAAATCCATAAAGAGCATATTCAACCTTTTAAAGTTTCAGGTAAGATTCCTTTTTTGTCTTTGTTTCCAGTCACCTTTGTGAAACAGATTGGCCTGATTTACCTTAAGAACATAAAATCTCAAAAATTTAGTTTCTTTTTTTATACATGAAGAGATAAAAATGTCTCAGATATGTTGTTTTAAACTTTGACCTTCTATTGTTTGTTCACAGTATGATTTTTTTCATTATTGAAACAATAAGTTAGGAAAATGACATCCAAAAAATTTCAAAGAAATGTACACAGAAGGCAAAATGAACATTGTAAAAGATCAGTGACCTGTGAATAGAGGGTTTTTAAAGGCAGATGAATTATGCTGGAATTGGGCCAAATTCCTGAATATCAAGAAAAGAAATGACAAAACAAAAACAAAAGAGAGAGAGAGAGAGATTTTATGGCAATTTATAGAACTGTGGCTTCCAATTTCACAAGGTAACCTGCTTCCCAAAACTGCACATAAGAAATAACATGAGTAGATTGCTTTTAACATGGTTCCCAGTAACAGATTTTTGAAGGCAGCACAATATGAAGTAGTGGGTAATTGAAGCCTCAAGGCTGTTATCCTCATCCCTTGATCCCTACCTGGTTACAGAACCTCATCTCTCAGTGCCAAATCCCATTAGGATACCCCAAAATGACAGATGGCTTTGCCTAACTGCCAGTCGGCACAGATGTGATCCCAGTTTTTGGATAAACAATACGCCCTGTTGCTGCATGTAGTAACCTAAATTTTCTTGGCAAAAAAGTAACTGCCATGCTTCAGGTAATGTAGGTTGTTAGGTTTTTTTTAAACATTGAAAGTCAAAGGTTTTGAACATAGGAAAGTTGCACCAGGTAAAGCTGAAGTGTGAATTTTGCTGCATTTACCTCTACATGTAGACATTCCTGCTCCGTAAGAGAATATGCTTTTCTGGTTTAGTCTATGTTGTTTCAGAACATTTTTTTAAGCTGAATGAAAAATAGGCCACTTGTGTTCTGGGTTCACATTATGGTACAACTGTGTTGGTTTAACTATACCTACATAGCTGGGGGAACTTTTCTGTATAGAGAAGCCCTCAGTTCAATATTTTTTAAGTGTTTCATAGATGTTAGGGGCTGGCAGGGACCTTACAGATCACTGGGTCCAGCCCCCCTGCACTTGGGTAGGAAAGACTGCTGGGGTCAGTTGACCCCAGCAAGATGTATGTCAAGACTTCTTTGAAGATCGCCAGTGTGGACGACTGTACCACCTCTGGGGGGAACCTGTTCAAAATCCTCGGTACTCAACTTGTAAAGAAGTTTTTCCTTAGGTTGAGGCTGAAGCTGTCTTCAATCAGTTTGTGCCCATTATTTCTTGTCCTCCCCTGGGGGGCGTTAGTGTTGTTCTAATAGCTGCTGTTAAATGTTTCATGTTATATATACAGATTTTTTAAAATGGTTGAGCATGTTTCATAATAATGTTTCTCTCCTTTTTTATTCTACTGTTTCTAAACAGCAGATGGTAATACAAAGTAGTAATTTACAACAGGCTGGTCTATCCTGCTTCTGTTTGTGTTTTGCCCAGCCTTATAGTTTTGGGGTTTTGTGGGAGTTTTTAATTTTATTTTTGGTCCTTTGTTTTGTTTTGTTTTGTTTTGTTTTGTTTTGTTTTGTTTTAGCTGTGACAGGCCAGGGAGGGAGAAGGCTTTGTTCTTCCTTCCCTACCCCCTGCCACGCTAGAAATGTATGGGCCATATCTCTACTGCTGCTTTTGCTGTCAAAGAGACTTCTTATACTTCCCTGTCCCATTTGAATACCAGCTGCACTATGGCTACTGTGTGTCATTTCCCCAGTTCTCAATGGCAACTGCTATTTGTAGGGCTTATTCTGTAAGGGACTGAATGAATGTATACTTCAGACCATCTGGCGTAAATTTTCAGTGAGATTAATGATTTCTAGGTGCCTCAGGTTTGGAGAGTTCTAGTTGCCAAACATCGAAGGAACCTGTTTTTCAGAAAATATCCGGCCTCTGAAAATTTGTGCTGGTTTGAACACTGAAAAATTGAGGTACCTAGGAATTAACGTTTATTTGAAAAAGTATGTCTTGTATAAGCGTTATTGTCATCAATTACTGTGTGCAAGTATTTTGTGTCTACTTGGGTTCAGATGGAAGTGATGCATCTAATATCTAATTGTGAATCCTGTTTAAAATTAACAGTGATATTTAAAATTTCTCATCCTGGTCTTAAAAGGGTAATGCAAAATCCAGATGGATAAATAGAAACAGAAAGCGTGCGCAACAGAAGTATGAGGACATTTTTTTTTTAAATAGAATTTGCTTCAGAATTAAGTTTTGTGAGAAGTATTATTTTGTTACCAAAAACCCAGGACTTTGGAGAGACAAGAGTATAGCCTGTCTTTGATCCATACAAGTTTTTCAAGCTTAAGTGCAGAATTAAAGAGCAGGTGCAATTGCTTGAATGATTACCCTATTTGTACACCAACTCAAGATACCTTTACACATCCCAATAATTCCAAAAGCCCTGTTAGCAGGTAAGGTGTTACTTGAACCCAATCAGATAGAGGCAAAAATGGGTCTATACCCCAGCCTTTTATGATTACACCCCAAAGCACAAAAATAAGCATTTGTCTCCATGCCTATCTAGCTACCTGCAACAACACAATACAGATTCTCACCTATGTCAGCTGGGCAGATGCAGAAAGAAGCAGA